CACAAACCAGCAGTGGTAATTCCAGTGGTAATCGGCACACTGCTATTCCAAAAGCACTGGAATTACTTTTAAAACAGTTAAAAATTGACAAAATCACCATCAGTCAAATGCAAAAAGCCGCACTGCTTGGATCTGCACGCATATTACGAAAATACGTTACGACGTCCTAGGCCGCTGGGTGGGGTCCGACTAGTAACCAATGCCAAATCCGGCGAAACAACTGGCCGCTGTGATACAATTGTATAATAATAATAATGTCTATTTAAATTACTTAAGATTTGCAGATGATGTTGTTCTCTTCTCACAAGACCCACAAGAGCTACAAAAACACATACAAGAGCTGCAAAAACAAGAAAACTATGTGGCTTAAAAATAACCCTGAAAATGAGCTGGGTTGTGTTTAATAAATTCACCAAAGAGAGAGAGAGAAGAAATTATATCTGGAGAAGAACTAGACGTAGTAGACCACTACATATACCTTGGTTAATGGATCTCAATAGAAGGAAGGTGATACAATAAATGAAATTGAACAGCATGTTAAATGTGGTTGGCAGGCATTCGGCAAGCTAAGCATAATTTTCAGGAACAACCTCTCCCTATTCTTGAACAGAAAAGTGTTCGATCAGTGTGTGTTACCTGGTCTAACATGTTCCGGGGAAACATGGACATTAACCTCATAATTGATACAAAATCTATGAGTGGTGCAAAGAGCCATAGAAATTACAAGTCAAGATAGAAAGATTTGCACAGGGATTAAGAGAACAAACGAAACTATACAATATCATCAAGAGAGCAAAAGAATTGAAATGGAAATGCGCTGGTCACATAGCAAGAAGAACTAATGGCAGGTGGACCAAGGCAGTCCTAGAAAGGATCCCACTTGATAAAAAGCATCCACGAAACAGACCTAAAACAAGATGGGTTGACATCATCGGCAATTATCATGGGCCCAATTGGCAGAAGAAAGCTCAGGTCCACATTGATTGGAAACATACGGAAGAGTCCTTCATTCTGCAGTAGATAGACAATAGCTAAAATGATGATAATGATTACTTTAAAACAAAGGAAAATGTTATGTAAACATAAAGCCATCTGCCAAGTATTTATATGAATTAGCAGTGAGCTACCAATATTCACTTGTGAAGCAAATGCTTGAAAAGATGCTGGCTTTGAAGCCACAGAAATTCCTAGAAAATATCAATTCTCATTTTTTAAACAAAAATATAGATTGAAACTTGATTGGATCTATAATTGGTCTTGGGCCTCAATAAAGCGCAGAAGAATAGAAAAGTTTATTTATTCATTTAAAAAATGTTTTATGGCTGCTATCTCACAGAGTGATCCAACCAGCTCACAACAACTAATAAAAACAAGATAAAAACCTTTCCCACAAGGTGTTAGAGTAGCCATACAATTGACCCCATATCTTAGCACAGTACTTGGGAGAAAAGATAAGTCTTCATTGCCTTTTGAAAGGCCCAAAGAATAGAGGACCCTTGAATATCAGCTGTTCCAAAGGGCTAGGGTGGCAATAGAGAAAAACACTTCTGACGTCTCATCAGATAACAGACAGAATGTAAGGAAAAGGACCTGTGGTATAATCACCCTATCTGATCTAGTGGGACAGGTAGATACATCTGGGGAGAGGTAGCCATAACTTGATCCTGTGCTGGCCTTTAAAGATTATCATCTTTAGCATTTTGAATTGCACCATGAAAGCATCTGGGGCCCAATGCAACAGTAGTATAAGATGGTCAAAGCATGGGACATGCAGAAGTCCAATTGCTGTTGCCTTCTGTACCAGTTGTAGTTTCTTGATGGTCTTCATGTAGACCACATTGTAGTGACCCAAGCAGGAAGAGGCTAAGCCATGTGTGACTATGAGGAAGACCTGGAATGGGTACAATTGGGATACAAGACGAATTTGAACAAAGGTTGATTTGGCTACATAAGCTGCAAGTTTGTTTGTTTGTTTGTTTGTTTGTTTGTTTATTATTTATTTATTTATTTATTGGTCTTGTATGCCGCCCGAAGGACTCCGGGCGGCTTACAATAAACAAAGGAAGGGGATAAATAGACAGACAGACAAACAACAGTTTAAAATACACAACATTCACAGTTACAGTGGGGCTGGCTATTTCAACAGCCCCCCAGCCTGCCGGAGCAGCCAGATCTTAGTGGCTTTGCGGAAGGCAGGGAGAGTAGTAAGGGTCCGGATCTCCACAGGGAGCTCGTTCCAGAGTGCTGGAGCTGCAACAGAGAAGGCTCTCTCCCGGGGAGTCGCCAGCTGGCATTGGCTGGCAGATGGAATCCGGAGGAGGCCTAGTCTGTGCGATCTGATCGGTCTATGGGAGGTAATTGGCAGGAGGCGGTCTCTCAGGTACCCAGGTCCGATGCCATGTAGGGCTTTAAGTTCAGGAGAACACCCCCCCACCCCCAAACTATGTACCAATTCTGTCTATTATTTCATACAGAGTCAAATATGTCAGCTCTCCTACCCACAACCACTGTTAGGGTCAATAAGACCAGTGGTGGGTTCCTACCAGTTTGGCTGAAACGGTAGTAACTTGGCGGCATGGGTTGCTGGAACTGATAGCAACCCAGGCCTGCCACGCCTCCAAACTGGTTCTCCTGGTGGCACCTTATTTTTGGCTTCTGTGCAGAGCAACATGCACACGTGCGCATAGCAACATGCGCACAGCAACATGCATACATACGGTGCCTCCATGACCGAACTGGCAGTAGTGGCTGCCGAACCCCACCACTTTTCAAGACCCTTATGGCAACCAGGTATTAAGCCAGGACTTGCTAAACTATTGCCTCCTCCTCCTCTATAGTGAGAAGAGGCTTTCTAAAAACCTCTTTGGCCAGCCTCCTTCTTTTAAAAGATTAAAAAAATTAATGAGTTTCGGCCACCCAAGGTCCACGCTCATTGCTGATCCTATAAAAACAAATTAATTCAATTAAAATTAATAATTGAAATTTAAATAAGTTCAGAAGAGGGAAAGAATGGGAAATAAATGAAAGAGAAAGGGCTATTCAAATGCTTTCTGAATTAATTCCTATGTATAAGGCCTTTCTTTTTTCTTTCATTGCAGTACCAAATTCAAAAAAGGGGAAAAAAATAAACAATTTTAAATGCTTACAAAATAACAATTGCAAGTATCAATTTTCAGCAACTAATGAGTTTATATTATAATATGCAGGCTTGTATATTGTATGTCATACTATTATACTTTCTAGTTTTCATTCTTAAAGAATTTGAACATGATGTTTCCCCCTGTATTTGCAATTTACTTCTATTGAGGCGCACAGATTTGTAAATCTTTCGGGAAAAGCTGCACAGAACAATTTTTTTCCTGCACACAGCATGTCATACATTAGAGGGAAGATTGGATGGCAGCATTTACAGTTTTTCTTATCTCTTTCCTGCTCTATAATGATCATCCAGATTTTTACAGCCCAGCTCTTAAAACACAACAAACTGAGACCAAAATGGCGGCATACCTGGATAATTCCAGGTAATGTTTTCCTATTCATGCGATGGAATGTGCTCCTGGAGGAGCAGATGGGGAGAGCTATTGCAAGAGAGCTTTCCCAGAGAATGGTCCAGATTAAGAGACCACATAGTTCTCATCTGGATGGGTCAGGGGATAAAGATATTCCGGGAAGCCACATCTAGAATATCTCAGGATAATTTTGGTAGGTTAGAAGGGTATAGCTTTAGTTTGGCAAGGTTCTGTCCATTAGGTATAAGCAATATAGGATTGGACTCAACTGGATTTTGATGTCTCTTTTCTAGACTTGGGTCTAATAGTTCTAAATGGCATAGATTTTCTTTTAAAAAAAAAACCCAGAAAAAACTACACTAGTTGGCACTTTCGGAAGGTCCTTGGGTCTCAGGCTAGGATTACAAAAGGAAGCCTGGAAGATTATACTAACTATAGCTCCCACACATGGAATACTCTTCCTCCTGTTGTTCAGGAGACACTGACAGCACTATATTTACATACCTCTTACAAACTTACTTCTGTATCCAGATCTTCCTTGTTTTAGTACCAAGCATTTTAATTTAGACATGTAGTTCCTGTTCTTAATTTCCTCATGTGGTAAATATTAAAATATTTCAATGACTGGGAATTTTATATATTTTGAAGTTGCAATATTGCTTTTTATATACATTGAACAAATGTAATCATTTGATTATTGATAAGAGATGAGATATGGAAAGGAGAAATTATTTTTTAATTTGAAGTACTGGAGAAGGTTGTTAAATTATTCAAATTGTTTAGACTTGCCTAGAGGGGGAATTGAGTCCTCTCTCTCTCTCTCTCTCTCTCTCTCTCTCTCTCTCTCTCTCTTCCTCTCTCTTTCTCTGTCTCTCTTTGTCTGTATGCTGCTCCCCCCTCTTCCTACCTACCCTAAATTTCTATCTATATCTATCTATCATCTATCTCTATCTTCTTTTTTCTTTAATATTTTTCTATCTCTTTTCACTTTTTTGTTTCTCTTCTTTACTGTTTATATTTTCTTTAGTTTGTATTAGTTTTCTATCTTTGTATTTGTAAACTTTAATAAAATTATTATTTTAAAAAAGTAGTAGTATAAAATTGGTAATACAGAGAGTGATGAAGGTGATGGTGATATTGATGATAATAATGACATTGCTGAGCATACTTACCTGTAACATTCAGCCTATCAGAACGCTGGCACCACACTGTTCGTTCATTATCTTGCCAAAGACTTGTTTTCCATACATAATTATAGCATTTTCCTCCTATAATGTAGGAATGAGAGGAAAGGTTACGTAAAGACATGTGCAGCAAACTGTCATGATCTCACTAGCTGGTTATCTTTTAACCTATGAGATCGCCTAGCAGAGACAGGCCGTATCAGGGAGTTACATGAGATTCTACTCTGGCTGGAATGGTCTTAGGGATTGACAAGTAAAATATACCAATAAGATGCTGTTGCTAACTCTGCTTTTGCTTTTTAAAACTGTATAAAAACCAAATAAACTCTGCGCAAGGCAGACAGATATTTTGGACATCACTGCTGCTTTTGGCACGCGAGCCAAAAATGTTTCCCATCACTGGTCTAGTCTATCCTAGTTTTTTTCCTCCTTTCTAAGGACCATAAACAGTTTCCCAGTCTCTGCTTGCCTTTTCAAACATTTTCTTAAACAACGTCTTTTGATGGGGAAGAGGAGACGGGGTTTGGAAACATCACCGTAAACTACAGAAATGACAACAAGAAAACAGTTTGGAAGCAAACTCTTCTGTGAGGTAATAAGAACTGTGGTTTACAGTATTCCCTACCTGAGCAAGGCCTGGTCTCCAATTCTTGTTCAGGGCAGCTGTCTTGATTTTCGAAAGATTGAATGATAAATGTTCTTGATCGAGACTGACGGCCCATGCTCTCAAAGCTCCTGCCATCGATGCACGTTAATTCACAAGAGCTCCACTCAGACCACTCGGATAAATGACAGTCACCTTATAGTCAAAAATGAAGAAAGGAGGGGAATGTGGACTTTACTAATGGATGTCTCTATACTCTGTTCAATTATAACATCAGAAAGAACCTACAGGTTATCTAACCCAAAGAACAATCTTGTACGTTCTGGGATCCTTTTGGCAATAGACTATGTTGCAGAATGTTGGTGAGAAAAGAGCTCAGAAATGGTGATACAGTTTCCAGTATTTCAAATGTGGGAATTTTTCATTTCCTCCCTCTCCCTGTGCCAGCCTCTGTTTCTCTCACACACATAAGTCTAGAATTAAGTTAAAAGCACAAATAAATGTACAATTCCTGACAACCCCCCCCCCCCTTGAAAAATCCTGGCCCAATCATGTGTCCACTATAGACATATTCACTTTGTGATTTCTCTTTCACTACAGTCTGGATTGCCCCCAGAAGTAGATAAGTGGTTTAGTTGTTATTTATTATTAAACTTATATGCCACCCAGGGGTGGGTTGCCAATTTTTCTACTACCATTTTTTCCATACTCATGCAGCCCTAGTGTCCAGGCAGGTGGGCAGAGCCTCCCGCCGCCGCTACTACCGGTTCGCGTGATTCAGGCCGAACCGGGAGCAACTCACCTCTGATACCACCCATCCTGCCTACTCATCTACTTGACCCAATCCAATTCCTGCTTTATTTGAGATATCCAGTATAGGATGTAGACAGGCCTCCTAGCAAAAGCCAGGCTTGTCAATTGTGAGGGATGCTTGGAGTTGTAGTTCAGCATTATTTGAAGGGCCAGAAGCTCCCTACCTCTGGACCCTGGCCTTCCTAAAAACACCCTTCTAGAAAGTGCTTCGAAAACACTGACTTTAATTTCACAGCAGTAATGGGAACCTTTTGATGTTGAGGGCTAACCTTTTTAAATTATTTTTTTGTGGCAGCTGAAGGATACAATGAGGTGATACTATGTGAGAATGTAGTATATGGATCTGTGGAGTGGGAGGGAGCTGCGTTTTTATAGTAGTTATGCTAAAAATTTCCATCCTTCATTAACTTGCTTTACAATTATGTTAAAATAAGTTTGAGTTTGAGTTTGAGTTTCACTTTATTTATATTCCCTGCGGGACTCAGGGCGGTGCACAAACCCAAGGAGGGAAAGGGAAAAACACAAAAACTACAAAAATACAGGGCATTTAAAAACAACCAACAGCCACACGATTCGAAAGGGGAAGGGAACTCATCGACCCCAGGCCTGCTGACACAGCCAGGTTTTAACAGCTTTTCAGAAGGCCTGGAGAGAGGTGAGGGTCCGAATCTCTGCGGGGAGTTCGTTCCAAAGGGCCGGAGCTGCCACAGAGAAGGCCCTCCCCCGGGTAGTAGCCAGATGACATTGGCTGGTAGACGGAACCCGGAGGAAGCCTGCTCTGTGTGATCTAATGGGTCTTTGGGAGGTAATTGGCAGCAGGCGGTCTCTCAAGTACCCAGGTCCAATACCATGAAGGGCTTTATAAGTGACGACTAGCACCTTGAAGCGTATCCGGAGACAAATCGGTAACCAGTGCAGCTCGCGGAGGATAGGTGTAACGTGGGTGTACCGAGGTGCACCCACAATCGCTCGCGCGGCTGCATAAAACAGTTTCAATGTTTTTTCAAAAAGTAATAACAAAGTGTATCTTTGTGTTATAGTTTACTGACAAATGTTGGCAACACAATTTCACGTTTGGGAGATTCTAAAAAAGAAGGGGAGGTTGCATGTGATCCCTGCTATTGAGCTGTAGGAATGCTTAAATCAAGCATATCAAGTATGTTAAAAATTTTCACCATCTGAATGTCCATGACCTAATTATTAGCATATAATCTACTGCACTTTTCAAAATCAAGTTCTTAAAAAGCTCTTTTGCATGGTTTGCGCTAATCAGCATAAGCACAAAAAATAGTAAACTTTAACATTGGAGATTTTGTTTCCCTGGATAAGGCTGGATCCTAGACTACATTATGCTTTCATTGCCAACAATGGTTTGTTCATGGGTGTTTCTCAGATACATAAGAGAGGGCAGTATACAATTTCAGTTAAGGGGAAAAGGTGCTTAAACCAGATGTGTATTTCTCCAAAATGTGGAGTTGGGTTGCCAAAGATGCAACTGCATCAGCACTGTAGATGGTCCAAAGCACTTTCTTAAAATTGAATATGAAGAATGTTATAGTACATTGCTCTCTGGTATAATGTGTATTGCATGAGTTAAAAAAAGAGAAGGGGAATGTTGACCTCTGGACCATAGTCCATCTGCAAAGACTTTCTGTTTATTTCTACTCTCAAATTTCCATAATCATTTTAACCCTCTATCTGGATTTATATTACCTATATTAAAACAATATTCAGAGAGATCTTATAATAGCCTATAGGTAAGCTTAAGGCAAAAGGTTAATTCTGCAAAAACAAAAGGGACCGTCCTCTCATGAAAGGCTACAGTCCAAGTGAATGGGGATATTTCAACTTATGATGACCAGAAGATGATTCTGACCATGGATGGATCCTGAGCCGAATTCAGCAAAGTCAGAGTCAAAACTGGGTGACATTAGAAGGCTTCTTGGGGCGTCTGGACCACAAGTTCAGCATGCCAGATTTAAAAGTTAGTATCAAGGAGACAAATGTAACTAGTCCTTTGTGTGATTGCATTCTGATTAGATATCTTTAAGATTGGACAGTAATCCATCAAAAAGCTAGGATGTATAGAACAAACTGCAGGTCTGTGTCAAACCACCTATTTTCTTGGAACATCATGTGCAATTGGCCATAGCTATTTATCACCAAAATAATGAAATACAGTCCTTCTCAGAGTTTACCTGGACAAGGGACGGAACACGGAAGTCGAAGCAAATTCTCTTTAGGGGGAAGCTCTTCACACAGGGTGTTCTCAACTTGCTTAAATGTTGACGACGAAATGCCATCATGCACCATACACAGCAGGTTTCGTACCTGGATTCCATCTCCACATTGTCCACCCTAACAGAGGGGAAAAAATAGAGGTTATCAAAACAACTAAATAACTACCCTTTGTATGCTGTGTATACATCTTAATCCTAGAAACAATGCAAAGTGTTTGAAAATCAGGCAATGCTTCTTGAAGTGTGCAAGAATAGTTAAAATAAAAAGTAAAAGTATTCTTTCCTACTTCACTTTTTTGTGTTCCCTTGCAGTTGATAGGTATTCTGCAATGTTGCTAAAGGACCATTCTTCAACAAATAGTTCTTCTTTTGGTGGAGGCAAGGAAAAGGATAGATGTGCTCTTATTAATCTTGAACAGGGGTCTCAAAACTTGGCAACTTTAAGAATTGTGGACTTCAACTCCCAGAATCCCCTAGTCAGAAGTCCACAAGTCTTAAAGTTGCCAACTTTGGAGACCCATGCTCTTCAACTACACATAATAATAAACTTTTGAAGTTAATGTGTATCCAGAAGGGCTAAAGCCTCACTGGGTATATTGGTAGAACATTATTGCTCTACCAATAATGCAGATTCAAAAGAAAAGGTGTTTTGGGTTTGTTTCTCAAAACAACATGTCTCTATAACACATTAAATCTTGCTCACTTTGCACGTCTTCCTGGATATGACCCAATTAGTCTGATGTGATTAATGCTAAGCAGATCTCATCTTCTCTGTACTCTGAAATAATTGAGTGTGGAAATCTAAATCACTTTAAAACCAATGCTAGATACCAGATCAAAATGTTTTGAATGTGGAATAATCTAAAAGATAAAGAGGGCAGTGTAGAATGATGCATAAGGCAAATAGATGCATGCCAAGTGCAGTGTGAAAAAAGGGAGGACATACATGCGATCCATGCTGAGAAAGAAAAAAACTACAGCTGTTTGATGCTTCACAATTCACACCAGCGTTTACATTTTCAGACTATTAGAAAAAAAAGTCATCATTTCAACGAAAAAAAGTCAAAGTCAGCACTTCAGGCTACTGAAGCTTCAAACCATACTGTTTCAAGGCCTTTCGAAGTATTGAAAGAGGCTACATGGTATTCTTAGTGCAAAAGTCAATTTCCTTGGTAGCAGGGTTCTCTGAAATTAAAGCTTGCTTTAATCTAGGCATGCTGATGTAAAACCCATCTATGACATTCACTGGAATGCTATTAGAATTGTACAGCTCTTTGACCTTTGATATTAAATTAGTCACCTGCCTCGGTTGTATGTATGATAACTTTTCCCTACTTTGTTAGAATTTTCAATAATATTAACTTAATGTCACCTCCTTAACTTTCAAAACAAGGATCAAATTGCCTCATAAAAGTGAGTTGCAATCAAGTTCATTTTCTACCTGTTGTGTCAAGGAGATGTTTTACAAACTTCAAGTACCTCAACTCTGCACGGGGACCATTCTCCAAGAACCCAACTATAGCAGGGTTTTGCAACACAGCTGCGGAACTGAGTAAGATCAGCTGGGCAAGCTCTTCCTTCTCCTTGGGCTTCCATAATTATAGATCGGGTACGAAGCATCTGACCTAAAGGAGGAGAGATGATTATTAAACACCTTGTATTTTAATATTTTCTTAATCTTTCTGGGCATATTTAAAATATTGATAAGTCATTGGGAAAGGAGGTTATGATGTGCGCCCAGTCCGATCTCTCTAATTTGTTTAAATGAAAACTGATAAGGCTAAAATAACCGAAGGCTTGAATTTGGCTGTACAAGAGATACTCGGACTAATGCAACCAAGGTCAGAATTGGAAAAAAATCATCCAATGATTCAAAGTGCAGATTGTACAAAGAAGCAGAAAAAAAGAAACAATAGATCGTATATTCAGCTAGTGAATGCACAAACTGATTGCACAAACTGATAATAAACAATAACATAACACAGTCACCAAAATGATTCATTGGAATATTTATAAAAATTATCGTGTGCCAGTAATCAAAAATTGGTGAGAACATAGAGATGAAAATGTAGTCAAAAATAAGCAGTCAAAAGTAGTCAAAAATATTGTGGGATTTCTGAATACAGGCCGATAAAAGCTTAGGCTCGTAATACATCAGATATAATTGCAGTTAAAAAGAAGAAAATGTGAATAATGGATGAGGAAATACCAGGGGACAGTAGAATAGAAGACAAAGAATTGGAGAAGATCACAAAGTATCAAGATCTGAAAAGCCAAATCGAAAGATTATGGAATAAACAGCTGTGGTGATTCCAGTGGTTATTGGCACAAAGGGTGCCATTCCAAAAAATCACAGGCAGGACTTAGAAAAATTAACACATTGACAAAATTTGCATCTGTCAATTGCAAAAAGTCCATCATTAAATTTTTTAAAAAATGTATATATTCCAAAGTCAGTGCTTAGAGTCCTTTAAACTGAACATGCCTCTCTCAAATTAGAAATATTTAAAAATCAGCCCATCATTCTAGTAACATCTAATGACACCTAGCATGACTCTTACAGCTATAACACAAGGGCTAAAGATGTAGTGCAGCTCCAGGCTGAAAAAAGTTGCTTAGTTTTGTAGCCAAGTGATATCCTATCACTTTAAAGGCGATTTAAGTTTGCCGCTTAAAAATGGCTGCTCGATGCCACGCTTAGCTCCGGGCTAGATGTACTTGCTGGATTGCTACACTCTTTTTGGTTCACCTAGTTGCCTTCCAATCCCACCTTCGTTGCCAGTGTTAGATTGGGTAATGGATAGGCACACACAGGCTTAACGGTAACAACAGCTCTTTATTGGATACAACAAGTGAGAACAATCCAGCAAGGGTTGAGTTTGACAGTAGCCCTTTTATAGGGAGCTGTCAGACTCTTCGACCAATAGGATTAAACTTCTGTTCCAGCGGGTGGAAACCACTGTAGATAGGGTGAATATCTAACAAGATCCTAACAGACATAGCCCTCAAACTCCTGGCAAGAGATAATTTTCAATACCGTAGTGAACACTTTAAAAAAATAATGATGGGATTTTGCATGCTTTTTGTATCTATGTATCTACTAAGCATTGGAAGCCCTATAAAGATAGTTGGTAGAGGCATTTATCCCTCCCCCTCCCTCCCTCCTTTTCTTTTGTCTAACTTTACAGGTCTCTACTGATATGACTTATAATGGTTAGATTGACTCTCAGGGTAGGAATCAATTCCACTTCCTTCTCCTTTGGTTTCTGGCCTGTTCTGCTCTGCTTAGCTTCTCTCCTGACTTACCTTCCCTCCAATAATGGAGGGAAACCCAATTCAGATCCTAAGCTGATGACATGCTAATAACCATGGCTTTCCTAACACTTTGTTATTGGGTAAGTGGAGTTTATTTTCTTTCACATCAGCACTTGCCTCAAGAATTTCTTCTACCAAATTTATTATCCTGACTTTACACCTATTTGTTCTGTTGTACAAAACCACTCGCTACATAAAACCACTTGATGAGCAACACAATTTTCATCAGCCATGCACACAGGGCTGAGGGCCAGCAGTGAAAGCAGATGTAAGGCACTGCACTGGGAAACGCTGGCTATGAATGTTTCTGCCCATCCCACCTCTTCTCATAAATGTCTCAAATGAATATCGCTAGAACTAGTGCGGTTTAATGTTAATGCATGAGGCTAGAAATGTCTAGACGTTGAGTCCTAGTCAGTGGTGGGATTCAAATAATTTAACAACTGGTTCTCTGCCCTAATGATTTCTTTCAACAACCAGTTTACCAAACTGCTCAGAAAAGAACAGTTCTCCCGAAGTAGTGCAAACTGGCTGAATCCCACCACTGGTCCTAGCCCCACCTTAGGCATAAAGCCAGCTGCCCTTGGACCAGTTAGTCTTTCCCAGCCCTAGGAAGTAAGCAATGGCAAACCTAACTTCTGAGACTCTTAAGAAAACTGTAGGGATTATTTCTGACAGGAATCAAAACTGATGTGAAGGCACAGGCATACACAACATGCACAGAAGAACGACAAGTCAGTGCTCAAGGATTTGTTGCAATAACATAAATGCCTTTGCATGAGAGATATTCCAGATCATTCCTGGTTCTACAGCATCATTTCTATAGCATCCATTTATAACTTGTAAGCCTCCCAGAGTCACCTCGTAGGGGAGATGGGTGGTATAAAATTTAATAAATTAAATAAATAGAAAAATAAATAACTACCTAATACACTCATTAACTTCCAATATATGATTATTGTACCGAATGTGTCTGGTATGTACAATAGGTATGTATATGTATGTGTGTCTATGTGTATGTGTATTAGCTGAAGCAGTATAGAGATCTTCACATATGTATATATGTATACACATACATATATACATATGTGAAGATCTCTATACTGCTTCAGCTAATAAGAGCCAATGTTATTTGCTCAACTTGATAAAGAAAGAAAGCTTTCCTAATGAACACTATCTTAAGCTTCATGCTATCAGTCAGGAAGCTTTTCCACTTTCAGGAACAAGCTGGCTTCTACGTAATGAGAATAGTATTAGATGAAACATTTCTTCCTGACTGAGGCTGTCCTGTGTCAGGGCAGTAGATGATGGCGATGATTCCTTTTAATTGAATCTGCTGGTACTTTAACAAATGGTGCATAATAGTGTTATTCCAAAAATAGTAACCTAATTTCTGCTCCTATTTACCGAGTTCAGGATATTTTGCTGAAAATTAATAGGTACTTAATGGAAATGCTAAAAGTTATTTTGGACAGTAATAGTTATTACCTGGCTTGTAATTTTTCAGCTCTGATAACTATAATTTGGTCAAACAACCTTCACATTTCATATGGTTAGAAGAAGAAAAACAATTGAAACACATAACCATTGTTGTTGGGAAACAGCACTAACTGTAGCTAGTAATTACAATATTTTGGAATAAGCAACACTACATTAGTATTTGAGGTTTTTTGTTTTTTTTACTAAGTCTGTGAATTAAATACCAGGATATATCATGTAATAAAATGCTCAAACTGAGTCTGCTTCCAGGCATCCAGAGAAGGACTGTTGAAGGTCACTAGTCCTCATGGTGATTTTGGGGTGTGGGTCACAGAGCCCTGCTTTGTAGCAATCACTACTTTGAAGAACTTGCTTCTCCAGAGGGATGAGCAGTGCTTGTCTTGCTAACCAGCAAGTTAGCCAACTGTATTTGTCTCCTAACTTAGTGGCTCTAGCAAGCTGGCTAGGAAAGTCTGGGAGTTGAAATCCCCTCATCTTAACATTGTCAAGGTAAAGATACATTGCCCCAAATAATTTAAGTGGGGGAATCTATCTTTGGTGTTATGCTTTTATTTTTAGTTTACATTTTTGTTGCTGTTCAGAGTTCTCAGGACAGATTATGCAGTTGGAAATAAATAAACAAGCAAACAAACAAACATATATACAAGAATATTGAGGGAAAAAATAAATGCTTAATTACCAAAACCATCAGCATGGGTACTTCCCAACCTCCTATACAAAACCATGCAATATCTTTATTTATCTACTTTTCAAATCATTATTTCTCCGAAGGTTAATTATGGAAAAAAGAAATTAGCTTAATAATAAGGATTTCTCTTTGGATAATTATTCATTTTGTTCTACCTTATTCTTATTGATTAACTTGCCATGGAGAAATATGAAAGTAGTGCTATCTACTGATTTGTCATAAATGCTATTAAGCCTTGGCTTAAAAAAGATGGCACTTAAAAATGAGTTTAATTAAGGAAACAATGAAGCATTTCTTTTAGATGCTTCTAATTAGCAAAGATGAGCTGACAAGATTTGGCGAATGAAACATATTTGTCATCAATACAGAAAACAAAGATTAACATAGATAATAATTTGTAATAATAATTAGGATTTATACTATAATGTATTATGGTAGTGTACATTAAAATGCCCACAGTACTGTATTTCAATGCCTGTTCTGCTTTTATTAGAATCTTTGCACCTTTCCTTTAGTCAGTAAATTCCCAGGGAAAAAAAACCCTCACTGAAAGGGCTGCTTCAGCATAAAACAAAGGCTGTGTTCTATGGGACATGATTTATTCCTAATAACAGCTACAATCCTAGGATAACATGGTTGTTTAAACTTACTAGGCCTCAGAGGAATTTATGCAAGCTATTGTGCATGGGACTGCAGCCAACCTAATTATTTTACTTCTACTAAGGTTTACACTTTTTTCAAGAGCCTCTGAATTTCCCTTGGTCATTGATAAGCGACCCCGGCACTTTATAGTCAGAATAGCCTTTTAATTTCTAGTCATTAATGCAAAATCCTGAAAAACAACTTGAAACTAATAAAGCCATTTGTTATTATCCACCATGTGATTTGCATATTCCTTTTTGGCAAAAGGGAACTTGGGAAAATGTCACTGCAAATGCTCACTTCTGAAAGAGCAGTACGGTTTTCTAACGACAGCTGCCACGGTATTTGCCTCTTAACAATTATTTCCCAGTCTTCTGGGAACTTCACATTCAGCCATGGAAGAAGGTCATCAACTCAACTAAAGTAGGGACCTTGAAAAAGGCCAGTACAAAAGGAAGGCCAGCTGCATTTC